TGTGTGTTCTCCAACACAACTCTCACAACGCTTTGTTGAATGTACTCACTCTCCCAACGGGGAGCTTACCTAACAGTTACCTACCTCTGCGCTAAACCAATTTGCTTAACTATGGTTCACTGGATAATAAAACTTATCTAAGGCAAAGGTAAAGGTTCCCCTCGCACATATGTGCTAGTCATTCCTGACACTAGGGGGCGGTGCTCATCTCTGTTTCTAAGCCGAAGAGCCAGTGCTGTCCGAAGACGTCTCCATAGTCATGTAGCCGGCATGAGTAAACGCCGAAAGCGCATGGAACACTCTTACCTTTCCACCAATAGTGGTTCCTATTTTTCTACTTGCATTTTTACATGGTTTCAAACTGCTAGGTTGGCAGAAGCTGGGACAAGTAATGGGAGTAATCACTCCGTTATCCGGCGCTAAGGATTCGAACCGCCGAACTGCCGGCCTTTCTGATCAACAAGCTCAGCGTCTTAGCCACGGAGCCACGTCTTAGCCCTTGTAAAACTTACCTACCTTTGTGCTAAACCGGTTTGCTTAACTATGGTTTACTGGATAATAAAAGTTACCTATTATGTGCTAAACCAGTTTGCTTAACTGTGGTTTACTGGGTAAACTATAACTGTCCAGGCTCTCGTGGTTAGAATGATGGGCAGGAGATTAGTAAGCCCACATTCAAGACCTGTAAACTGCCATGGGGCAGGATTGAGCTCTCGTCCGACTCCTGCTGTGGATATGAAAGGACACCCCCCCCTCCAACTGGATATCCCCAGGAAACAGTGATGTCACCAGCTAATCCTTTCATCCCGGAAGCATTTCAGCACTTCTGACACAAGCGCAAATCTGTCCAGATTTATAGAGCCCTTTAAGCCACAAACCAAGGGGTTCAGTGGCCAAGTTAAACCAACATCTTTTTACTTACGATTTTTTAAAAACATCTAGCCAAACCTTAACTTTAAAGGTTAATTGGGAAATGATTATGGCTTATTGCATTGCATAAGCCAGCTATAGAAGGCCCGAGTATTTAGTTAAGGCTAATCAACCTCATTAATTAACCTTATTAAGGTTAATTTATTTAACATCTAATACAAGGCTAGATGTACTAAGCAGGATGCCACTTGAAGCAGCATTTCCTAACCGTGGCAACTTTAAGATGGGTGGACTTCAATTCCCAGAGCTCTCCAGCCTGCATGCATGTGGACCTCAACTCTCCATACTGGTGGGGGAATTCTGGGAGTTGAAGTCCAACCCTGTTCAATTTGTCAAGATTGAGAAACTGCTCCAAGGCCATATACCTGGCACTAAGATGCCCATAGCACCTGTTCATCTCTGAACATATCTCTTCCTTGAGACTGACAATCTCTTAATAATGGAAAAAGCGGAAAAAATTATTTCTAGGTCTCTCAGCTACCTAGTAGATTTACAGATTAACAGAGTTGGAAGGGACCTTGTAGGTCATCTAGTCCAACCCCCTGCCCAAGAAAGAGACACTACACCATTCCTGACAGGTGGCAGCTGGGCTACCAGATTTAGAATGCCATACTCCCGGTGACCAGGAGGGGGCAGTCAAAGAAAACTACTGTATCTGGATTGTCCCAAAGATGCTTTTTTTTCCAGGGAGGCAACTGGACTTCCTTGTTTTTTCTTTGAAGACGTTTCGCTTCTCATCCAAGAAGCTTCTTCAGCTNTCTGGAAAAGATAATCAAGCAATGAATCAACAAACACCTAGAAGTAAACAAAGTAATAGCCAAAAGCCAATATCGGTTTGTCAAAAATAGATCATGCCAGACTAATCTTATTGCATTCTTTGACAAAGTGACAAAATTAGTGGACCAAAGGAATGCAATTGATATAGTTTACTTGGCCTTCAGTAAGATATTGTACTGTATTAAAAACAAAGAAAGTCCACCTGCTTCTTTAAAAAAAAGCACCTTTGGGACAGCAGTAAGAGAGTTGGAAGGGACCTTGGAGGTCATCTAGCCCAACCCCTGCTCACACAGGAGACCTGTACTAGGGATTTGAATGTAATCTTAGAATGTAATCTAGAGTAATTCCAGAGTGGGGAATGATAGAAATGTGCTTTTCAGAATTTAGAGCTTATCTTTTCCTTAAATGTTAGTTCAAATGTTATTTACCCCCGCTCCCCCCCCAAAAAACCCTTTCCAATTATTGCCCATGCTTGCAAAAGCAAATTGAAGACTTGTGGACTTCAACTCCCAGAGTTCCTCAGCCAGCAAAGTCTTAAAGTTGCCAAGGTTGGAAAAACCCCTGGCATATGGAAAGAAAGAGGAGAGGGCGCGTCCCTCGGCGAACTGGCAAGCGAAGGGTTAATTCTCCCCCCAGAGCATAGAAAAGACCGCTCTAGCCCTCTTCTCCTCTGCGGCGGAGCCAGGCGGGCATCATCGCCCCGCCTTTCTTTAACTTGTACCGACCGCCTCCCGCCGCCGTGTCCTCCTAATCACCGAGAATCTTCGGGGAGGGGGGGTCCTAGAGCGCCCCGTCAGGAGAAGAAGGAGGAGGAAAAGAAAAAGCGAAGAGACCAGACCGGATGTGACGTCCTCGCGTTCTTTTTTTTTTTCCCGCATCCTCCCTCCCCCCCCTGCAGCCTCCGCTCAGGGGCGTCTGTCGTCTCTCTCGCTCTTCCCCCCCTCCCTCCACGGCTGCCAAGGCGCTCCAAAGCGGCGCTTCCCTTTCCTCCGAGGCCGAGTCGGGATTGTGCGGCTCCTGCGGGCGGAAGAGGCCGGTGAGTCTCGGAGGCCTCTGGCAGGGCAGCCCGGATCAGCAGCAGCAGCAGCCCCCTCCCCTCCCCGGTCCTTCCCATTGAAAGCAGCCGGGAGGAGGAAGAGGGGGGGTCTGTGGTGGCCCCCAACAGGGCAGCCTCCACGTGGAGCCAGGACGGGCCCCCGATTTGCTCCTCCCTGCTGCCCGAGTCCGCCTCTTCCAGCCACCCCGATGCGGCTGCTGGAGGGAAGCCCCCAAAGAGCCTGGGCTGGGTGGGGTGGGGGTCTCCGATCGCCCCCAATGCAGCTCCTTGCAAGCTCCGTCCTTGCAAAAAGAAATGGGGAAAAAAACCCGGGGTTGATTATGCCAAAAACCGGGGAAGAAGCCGCAGCCACGTCCCCTTCTTCCTTTTCCCAGCCATAACGGTCCCCGAGCATCCCCCTTCCCCAGCCGGATCCCTTCCAGAGAGATCGGAGGAGGCATATCCCAGGGTTCCATGTGGGCTGGGAATGCTGGGGTTTGTAGTCCCGATGCCACTTGGGAGGACTCTAGATGGGGGCGGTGGGTTTCCCACCACTGCTTTAGAAAGGCCAGCGGTGCCAGCCAAAAGAGGAGGAGGAGGCTGGCAAGGCAGTTATTGATAATTATTTATTTTTTTGTCCGTTATCTATAATATATTATTTTAAGGTACTGATCTAAGTTGGTCCTCGACTTAACAACAGGACGTTCGGAGTTACAACCACACTGGGGGGGATGGGGGGAAAGGGACTTGTGACCGTCACACTTGACACGACCATTGTAGCCTCTCCGGGATCGTGGAATCAAAATTCAGACGCTTGGCAACTGACTCATATTTGTGACCGTGGCTATGTCCCTCGGGTCATGGGATTCCCCTCTTGCAAACTTCTGACAGGCCGAGTCAATGGGGAAGCCGGATTCACTTAACAACTGTGTCGCTAATTTAACGACTGTAGTGATTCAAGGGATGCGGTGGCTCAGTGCCTAAGACTCTGAGCTTGTCGATCAGAATGGTCGGCATTTTGGCGGTAAGAATCCCTAGCGCCGCGTAACGGACTGAGCTCCCGTTACTTGTCCCAGTTTCTGCCAACCTAGCAGTTTGAAAGCATGTAAAAATGCAAGTAGAAAAAATAGCAACCACTTTTGGTGGGAAGGTAACAGCGTTCCGTGCGTCTTCGGTATTTAGTCATGCCAGCCACATGACCACGGAGATGTCTCCAGACAGCGCTGGCTCTTCGGCTTTGAAACTGAGATGAGCACCACCCCCTAGAGTCAGGAACGACTAGCATGTATGTGACGGAGACGGTTTATATATATTAACGTACTGATCTAACTTAACGACAGGTGGTCCTTGACTTACAANAAGTTACAAGACCCTTGCAGCCCTAACCCTTTAGGGGGAAAAAAAACAGGGGTGTTCAGACTTGACAGCTATAAGACTTGTGGACTTCAACTCCCAGAATTCCTCCTCTTGCTCTTCATCTTTATGATGTTCGGATGGATGGGGGGGAGGGGAGGGAGCTGGAACCGGTTCTAAATGGCACGGTAGATTTGTAGAACCTCTTCTATAGAAGAGGTTAGAACTGGCAGGAACCCACGCCTGGTCTGTGTCCTCAGAGTCACCTGAGTAATGCTACTGGTTCCTACAGTCTGCATTTTCATTGAAAACCAGCTGTCTGCAAGAAATAGAAATCCTTCCATTCCACCACCATCCAGCCAGAGCTGAAGAAGCTACTTAGATGAGAAGCAAAACATCTTCAACGAAAAACAAAGAAAGTCCAGTTGCCTCCTTAAAAAAATCACCTTTCGGACAACCCTGACTTGGATGACTGAGAATCTCTACAGACGTTTAGCTATGCAATTTGGGATGAACATTGTTTGAGTGGTGTGGGAGTAGGAAAATGGGTTTCCAGAGGAAAAATTGCAGACTACAGGAACCAGGAGCGCTAACTCAGGTGACCCTGAGGACACAGACAAACCTCCAAGCGCTTCAAGGGCCCTCTGAAAGGATGCCAATGACCAGCTGTCTGCAAGGAATAGAAATCCTTCCATTCCCCACTATCCTGTCAAGAGCTGAAGAAGCTTCTTGGATGAGAAGCTAAACGCCTTCACCGAAAAACAAGGAAGTCCAGTTGCCTCCTTAAAAAAAGCACCTTTGGGACAACCACGACTTTGAATGACTGAGAATCTCTACAGACTTTGTCTCTCTCTGGATTGCTTTGCTGAGCTGGGATTTTGCAGCCCGGCTCTCTCGTCCCCCTCCCCGTCAAATCCACCCTGTCTCATCTCCAACCTGCCTCAGTTACAGATTTCTGGAAAAGAAGCATTTTGTGACTGACTCTGCTTTATCTCAAACCTGGAGACCATTCCCAGTTGGAGCCTGGAACAAAAGCCCAACCCTTTTTAAGAAAAGCCAGACCTGAACGCGGCTGTGGTTTATCCTGGAGTGCAGATCTTAACTTCAGCCACTTCTCTGGCAAGCCTCTTTGGAACTGTCTGCAGTTCTCCTCCCCCTAAAATCTACAGCTCCCCTCCCCATCAAATTCCCTCACTTTCCTTCCCCCCACCCCACCAAGGAAAGAAAGCACAGGAAGTGACTTCATGGATGAGTAAACTCTCGTCCCCCCCCTTTTTTTTAAACAGCTTCTCTAGGCAGCCAGATTTGCAGGATTTAACCCTTCCTTCAAATTCCTAGTGAAAGAAATAAAAGGGAGAAAAACCTGAAAAGGCTTTTGCAGTTAACATCTGGGAGAGACACTGGAGTTTCACGTAGCAAAAAGCCCCTGCTTTCCGAATTATGTCACTGCACAATTATGCTTGCAAGATGGGCATTCTGAGTTCAAGCAACATTTGATTTGGCCTTTGTTTTTGGGATTTATTAATGATAAAACATGTGGAGGTAGTTAGCGGCGTCAGGTTTCTGGGTATGAAAACAGGCCGTGTCACCTCTTCCAGTGCTATTTTAACTTCGAACTGTCATTATATGAAAAAGATGTGGAGACTCTAGAAAGAGTGCAGAGAAGAGCAATAGAGATGATTAGGGGACTGTAGGCTAAAATATATGAAGAACGATTGCAGGGACTGGATATGTCTAGTTTAATGGAAAGAAGGACTAGGGGAGACATGATAGCAGTCTTCCAATATCTCAGGGGCTGCCACAAAGAAGAGGGAGTCAAACTATGCTCCAAGGCACCTGAAGGCAGGATAAGAAACAACAGGTGGAAACTAATCAAGGAGAGAAGCAAGCTAGAACTGAGGAGAAATTTCCTGACAGTTAGAACAATTAATCCAGAAGAATTTGAGGATAAAGCTAAAATTGAACACATTGGAAGACTGCTATTTGGACTAATCGCCAAGCAACCAGAATAAAATTCATAAAGCTTTGCTTTTATATATGATAACGGCAGAAAAGATATTATATCCTTAAGTTTAAAAACTCAACACCACCCACAATGGAGCGATAGAAGATGAAGATAATGGAATGTGCTGAGGAGACCAAACTAAAAGATTTTGTTAGAAAATTATTTATAAACTTTGCTTGAAACAGAAAAACACACAGTCATTGTTTGTGGTTTTAATGATTAGAACAAAATGGATAATAGAAAAAACATGAGCTCTT